ACTGGAAACATGTCAAAGAGATGCTTTTTAGAAAATAAATCAAGCAGCTATGTCAAAATATGTTTAAAATAGTCATTATGAAATAAGTTTTTTTTTTTTTTTTTTTTTTTTTTTTTACCTTTTACACTTCTCATAATTGTTTGAATCAAGATATAGATTGACATGTTTAGACTTGTATTAAAATAAAATAGAATAAACATGATTTAGCTTCCAAAGAAGACCTTTCTCCACCGAGCAAGATACCTTGATAAGGCTTTTGAACCATACATATGAATTTTTGGAACCTTTATTTCTAGAAGCTCACTTTCAATCTATATATAAATGTATTTTTGAGGGGGAGGGGGATGAACCCAATTGACGTATCACATGTGTGATTGACTGATTTCTCCAGTCTGCTTCAGACAGATTCTAATAATAACACACACACAAAAAAGAAAAAAGAAAAAAGAAAATCTCAGTTTGCCACACGCTTCGACTGACTGGCACAGTGGCGCAACGGATTCCAGCACCTGCACAATTTGAAGCAAAAATCAAGTCATGGCCCTCGAGTGAAACGCCGGGTGTGTGATCACCTGAAGGTTGTAGAAGCTTCACTGCCCTTCTGGATCCGCTTTTGTTTTTTTGACGCCTGGTGAATTTTGATTTTGTCCAGTTTGATTGATTGTAGCTGCAGTAAAACCTGAATGGAAGCTCTCACACGATCCATGTCCAGGAGCAGCGCGGTGAATGAATGGCCTGCGCCGCACCCACCTGCGCATCGCCAGGTCCGGTTGCACATCGTTGCACGCTTCCAGTTGCCGACAAGCTGGCTAAAAATATGCGATTTGACCGGACGGTTGCGTGGCTTTGTTCACCTCGGAAGTGAGTAAGGTCGAGGTGTTGGGGGGAGGATTAACTTACGGTAGTCCATCGGATGATGCGGGTCCTCATCTTCTGGGTGCCATTGCTAGAAACTCTGCCCGGAACTAGGAGCCCAGTGTCTACAACACCCTTGAGGTCGACCACAAATGATAAGCATCCCCAAAAATAGAGGCTCCGTAGTGGTGGAATGCCGAGGTTCGTCGGCCAGGAAACCATGTCCGGTTTTGCTATTCTATTTGTGTGCATCGGATAGGGGGAGTGCTCGCAGTCATGTCCACTTGGGGTTCTCGACTTCGTCAACTTGGTTCCCTCCCAAAGCTTCAGAAACAAACAACACACACACACACAAATATATATATATATATATATATATATATATATACAAAACAGAGGTTTGCTCCCATCTTGTCATCATTAGAATTCAAGCACTGGAGCTTCATTGGGAAATGGGTAGAAAATGATGATGAGAAAACTAGAGCCAGATTTCAAAATTGCTTCCGAATCTCCACCTCGTGAGTGTGCCGGAAGGGTAGCTGGCAGTACGAGCTGCGGAGACAAACGTCGGCATTGAAGGTGAAGATGGGATAAGAAATCTTCACCTTCAAAATCTACTGCACCCCTCCCCTCCAACTGAGATTAGGTCAGGATTCGGGGCTCCAGTGTCGAGAAGACTGGACTCACACGGTGTGCAAGAGTATGCAGGCCTTCAACGGCAGTACACTGACTCCCCAACGAACTGTAGCAAGGATTGAGGCGTTTCGTTGCTGCCATCGCCCCATCAAGATCCTCGGGCCGACGGCTTCCACTCCAAGACTGCCTGCCATGTGTTTTAAACCATGGCACTGTTGCTGATTTCACTGGCTTCTTCGTCAGACTAAGAGCTCTGCTCATCATTGTCGCAAGCTTGACAACTCACCGGTTCAGGGGAAAAGCTTGATGTTGGAAGATGCCGCAATAAACCAAGGAAATCCAGTCTATTTTCAGAACAACCCAATTCAGATGTTTGGAACCTTTATAGATATTGATGGGTAGTGGAGAGAGTTTTTTAATGTATATTATATGTTTTTTGATAACAGAAAGAACAGAAGCTGAATCGAACCGAATAAAATTTACATTAAAAAGGATGGTGTTGCAAGCCTTACTACGGTGGGCTCCGTATGCTGGGATCTAAAGTCCACACTCTACATTTAAGCTGTGGTTTCTACTTACAGTAACTAGATTCAGACGACTCACATTCCAGCGAATAACGGTAAGCATTTCGACCTACGAAATAAGGAAAATGCTTACGGTATGGCTGTTCGAGAGTTCGACAAGTGTGACTATGCCCATCTTCGTGTCAGACCCAAAACGCAATCGCCGCAAGTAAATTGCTCGAATCCTTCACGACAAAAAGCTTTTATCGTTTTTTTTATTCGCCGAGGAAGCACAACTCCTAACAACCGTGACACAAGTTACCTACAGACTTCACCCAACTTTACGAGTAGCTCCAGAATCGGAAGAAAAAGTGAACAGGGAGACGAATTTACACTTCCTGATTTTACCGAATACCTCATTTGTGAAGCTTCACTCCTGGCATTACTTCTTTTCTGTGGCATTTTTTGCCTAGTTATGCAAAGTTCGTCGCGATTAGAAAAAATAGAACACGATCTGGCTGCTGCGTGCTACTTTGGATTCTGGTTACCTCATCCATCTTTTTCTATTTGTTTTCGAATTTGCACGAGCTTCATTAACTCGACAAAGCTTCAATGTGTGCAATCCTAAAGTACCGGGGCAGCGGTTAATTCTACCATAATGAAGGAAAAGCTGTTTATATCGTGCGACCTTATCAACTTACACCTGCCACTCTGTCAAGCCCTACTAGAATTTCGAAATAGCATTCTTAGATGCTTGCCTTTGTGTGCTGTGTGACTTATCTTAGGACCGGCTTGGCTCTGCGGCTGCTGTTTTATTATTATTGTAGTTATTATTCATTGAAAAAACTCTCTCCGATGTTGAGAAGTTACCTAACAGATGGTTTGGTACATCCACATTCTACATTCGACAGTTAATTCAAGCCTTGCTATCAGAGAACTTATCTGGTTCTCCAGTTTTCTATTTCACAATATGACATATTCTGACCAGTGCCTAACAATCAGAGATTCGAGGCAGCGTTTAACACAACCAGCACAGTTTCAACTTGTCCGAACATTCCAATTAAATTCAACATCATAATCTGCACATCGGTGAACAATTTAGCAATGCCAAAGTCATTACCATCTTCTTAATTAAACATGGTTGGATTAACTATACATTTCAGGGAACACAAAAATAAAACCCGGGCCGCTGTCTCAAGTAAAACTGGTTCCGCGGACATGAACCCAAAACAGACATGTTTGGATGTTCTGCAACGTCCAGTTGGCAATACAACGACCTCTCATGGACAAGCCAGGGTTCATAAATATTTATGCTGATGCTAAATTAGATAAAATGCCGTCGCCTTTCTGGTGAAGTAGGTTGAAGCACCCTAAAGATGGCAAAGCTGGGCTCTGTTTGCCGCCTCAGTGCATTAAATGTTGCCCCCTGGTTCTACTTCCTCGCTATTGTTGATTCCGTTTCATTTGATGCCCATCTGTGATGTGGAATTAGTCACAGTGGACTTGTGTGCAATGGTGTGAAGTCTCCGTGGGAAGCTTATTTTGCAGTTTGAAATCCTCACATTTTCTCTGAAATGGTTGTTGCAATGCAGGTCCCATCCGTGCTTAAACACGATACACCCAATGGCTGTAGATAGCTGTTTCTTCGAGAGGAGTAGTGCTTGCAGATCATTAATGAAGATGATGCTTGTTTTCGACATTTCTGGTTCTTCAACTATAGAAACAAAAACTGCTATTAATTGGTTTCTGATGCTCATGGGAACGGGGACAATACACACCACACGACCACTAATTTATCTATGTATGTGTCAATGAGTCGGACTTTTATATGGTCCGTAGTGTTGAAGCTTTTATTTTCAAATTTAATGCCTTTGTTATTGTTTGTCATGTGTGTTTATCACTTGAACATTTATATCACCAAAATATTAACAGAATTGGTCGTGAAAAATAAAAAAGGAAAAGAAAAGATAAATGTGTAAATGTTGAAGAGAAAGTTATTTTAGAATACACATTGATTGCAAAGTCCATGCTTTGAATCATATATTAATGTACAATTAATGCTAAGACCATAGATACGTAATCCAAGTTATTGGTTTCTGATTATCTGTAATGCGCTCACTCAATTGAAAAAATCATTAAATTCATAATAAAATATTAAATGTTTTGTTATAGTTTTATTTTAAATTTTGGAATATTGGTTGAAGTAGTATGAATTGTTTGAGAATAACTATATTCATGCAATATCTGAAGCATAAACATTCTAAATTTATAATGTGTAGATGAACAAATGTAAATGAGGCTTTTAGGTTGATTAGGAGTCAATAATTGTGAAAGCAAGCTCATGTACACTAACAACTTTATTTTATCGTAGTAATGATTTTAGTGAAAAAGAAACAAATTCCTCAAAAGCTTCCTTTATTTTATGAAATTTTGGAAGATGTATAAATAAAAAAAATTATAAATTTTGATAGTTATAATAAATTTCATAATAGACACAATTTAATGAAATTTTAATAAAACTAAATTATTTTTCATTAAATATATGTCATTAAATTTTATGTCTTTTAATGAAATCTATTTTTATTTGAAATTTAATGTTAAAATTTGAATGGAATTATAAAACTTTTATAAATTTTGGAAGATCTATAAACAAAACTTTTATAAATTTGTTTCCTGTCTTTTCTGAAATTTCATTAAAAGACAGAAAACCAAGTCCTCGAAAGTTTCCCGACTTTTATGAAAATTTTGAAGAGCAGCGGGTGCAAGAGCCGCGGCGGGCGCGTCCTACTTGTGCGCGCCCACGCTACGCGACTGCACGTCGTGAGTGTAGGCCGCGCATGGCGTCGTCGGTGACGCCACAGCGCCTCGTTGAGGCCCGCCCGCCCCGCCCGCGAGCCATGGCCCTCCCGCCAGATGTTCTCGGGATGCTCCACACGACCATCGCGCTGCAACCAATCATCCGCTACTGCTGCTTCGCATATCGTTCCTTGCTCATCAAACCACCAAGATACGTCCCCCTTCCTCAAATGGGTCCCTACAGCCTGATGAGTCCTGCCCACCGTCCCGTTTACTCCGCCTCCTGCTTCATGCTCTCGGACTATGCTCATCGCTTGGTTTGAGCACTTGGGTCCATTGCTCACCGACTTGGTTGTCTGGTAGCGGGCTCACGGATCGTGTTCAGCGACGCGGCACACAAACTTGCGCGTCGTGTTGCGACCCACCACCTTCTGCTTCGTGGGTTTCTATTTACAGGGGGGCTCATTAACGCCATCCTGCAGGCATCCTGTACTCGCACTGCCAGCCAGCCAGCCAGCCGTCGGAAGGAATGGGAGAGCTGACCTCTAGGGGGACTTATATAGACTTATGATGCACCTGCACACGTAGGACGACACCCACTGGAGAATGTGGGTGCTTCAGCGGGATTCCTTGGAGTTTTGTTATTTGGAAACTGATCCTCTGTAAAGACTGGCCTTTCACGCCCAGGTGGGTGATTTGTTGGTGGTTTCAGGAATGGTGATGTGGGTTGCACACTTGCATGTCTAGGTAGTTGGGAAGGAGCCCTTGCGTTAGTGATACTCTTTCGGTTCTGGCTATTGTTCTCGAGCTGGATCACTTAGTTCGTCGCCGGTCCCATTTCAGCGTTCGTTGTATGCATTGAAGAGTAAGGGGTTTGCGAGGAACGGAGTTGGGAAAAGAATGTAAAGCGTGGAGGGTGGTAGCCCAGAGTTTCTTGGACATCAGCTCGTTTGCACGCTTGTCTCGAGGCGTTTGTGGGCTCTGTATCTCCAGGGCTTTTCTTCTTCGTATTCAAAGATTGAGGGTTTTGCTTCGAAGCCGTCAAGACACCCAGAATTTCGTAGCTCTTCACTGTATTTGTTCACGACGGTTTTATCCACGACTTGTACTCGCAGTAGCGAAATTGTACTTGCAGTTTTCGGTTGCACTCACCCAGCATTTGCGGATTTCTTCTTAGGAGGTGATCCTATAGTTCCTGCGAAAGTCCTTTGCTCCTGACGCGGAACACAATTAATGCGCAGGTTGGAATAATCGCGGTTTACCGTTTGGTTTGGATCCTTGCTGCCGTAACCTCCCCAGTTACGCGAAGCGACTGTCACATATTTGACCTTATTAATGTCGACGAGCTTCTCATGGAAACTCTTCCCAAACATTGAGTTCTACGGGTTGAATGGAGAGTGAAATGGGCTCGAAACAGAGGCTTATGTCGGAGAGCCATGGCTAATCTTGCGATTAACACATGAGAAAAACCTCTCTTGATACGTGTGAAAACATTCATTTCGGCTGCTTATTAGCGGCGCCCGTTTGGTTTTCGTGGGTCCTCGCCCTCTTCGTCTGCATTAGCGGTGTCTATTAAAATGGGGAGGAGCTTCGTTGACAGCAGAAAAGTGACCGGCAAGGTGAACGGCAAGTCGATGTTAGTTTCCTCCGACAGAAGAATTCCCAAACCAAAGAAAGTTTCCTCCGTCCTTCGCGCCTTCTTCCATCTCTTGCCGCACCCTCTATTCTCTTGCCGAGGAGCCGAATCCGCCACCGATAATCATCCTCAGCCGAGCAACTGCGTCATAGGTGAGCTAATACATTCACTTATGGACTCCCGAACTGTAGAATCTGTTGGGTATCTGTAATATATTCTTACGTCTTTGTCTGATCGCAGTCATGTTCTCTGTCGCGAGCTCTGCATCTATTAACCTCTCGTTACGCGCAGGCACATTGTATGGTCAGAGGAAAGGTCATGTCTTCCTGGCGATCCAGGACGACCCAAAATGCTTCCCACTCTTCATTCTGGAATTAGCCACCCCCACGAGCTCCCTGGTGAAAGAAATGGCGTCAGGGCTGGTGCGCATCGCACTAGAGTGCGAGAAATCCCCTGGTGAGTCGAAATTGCTACTTCAAGAATCGACATGGTCAATGTTCTGCAACGGGCGCAAAACGGGGTATGCAACACGGAGAGATTGCACGGAGATTGATCGCCACATCCTCACCCTCGTGCAGGCCGTCTCTATGGGGGCGGGCGTACTGCCCATGGCCAACGAGGGATTTGAGGGCGAGCTCATGTACATGAGGGCGCGCTTCGAGCGTGTCATTGCCTCCGCGGATTCCGAATCCTTCTACATGATGAACCCCGACGGCAGCGAGGGACCGGAGCTTAGCATCTTTTTAATGCGCGCATAGAATCATGCCTGTCTGTACCATAGACACCTGATTATCAACGCCCTCTTCTCAGCTTTCTTACTTTTACAGCCATGAAGATTTTAGAGCAACCGGGAGCAATACACATCCCCTTTCAGTCTAGAATTCTTTCAGAGTTACCCTACTACCATTGAATCTCTTCAAGTTGCTTCAACCTGGGTTCCTGACCTTCTCGAGGACGCTGCGGGTCTTCCTGTCAAAAATTCTCTGATTGTACACACTTGCTACTGTAGACTAGAGGCTAGGGCTGTTCTCAAATCCTCCATGCTTCAGACTTTTTTTTTTTTTTTTTTAAATCCCCCCCCCCCTTTTTTGGATTTGGACTTGACGCAGAAGGGAGCTGCAGTTTTTTTTTTTTTTTTTTTTTTTTTTTTGTCTAATTCCCTTCCTTTTTTGACAGGCAGGCAAGCAGGCCTTCTAGCCCTGCTAGCCCTTCCTGCTTGTACTTGTGTACATTAACGTGAGGCTTCTGGTTACAACATGATTTGCAGGTGTTGCTAGCTCTGATGCTGGCTCTTCGTGACACTCAATCTGCACTGATCATGGATGAATTCGATTGGTAATACCATCTGGAACTTTGTGGATTCTGAATGCATTTCCATGTCATGCATTTTCATAATTCTGCTGGCAGAGTTATTAATCCAACAAAAACGTGAGATTGTGGTAGCGTTGTTTGTGAGTGAGTGAGTGAGCGAGTGTAGATAATGGGTGTGATGACCCTTGACTTGCGTTGAGTATGAGTGAACAGGAAGTTTGTTAGCTTGGGTTTTACTTGCATTTTTGTTTACGCAACCGTTTTATCAACCTCTACATGATAAAGGCGGGGGTTTTTTTTAATGTTTTTGTAAATAGGTTTTTGGAACTTACTTTGTTTTGATGATTTGCGTTGTGTTTTGAAGCGTGTCGAAGGGCATGTGAGTAGCTTTCTTCTTCTGTGGTGAGAATTCGTTGAAACGAGTCGGTTTAAGTCATTTTCTAAGCCACGATCTAACCCAATATGTCCACTTTCTTTTATTTGTTTAACTATTTTAAGAACAACACTTCACATCTAGAAATAACCAAAAAAGAAAGAAGAAAGAATTCCTGAAGAATTTTCTCCCATCATAAATGCTATGCATTATTCAGAGAATTTCCGTTTGGAGTTCTCTCCATCACAAGACACTCCAGTGTACTTTTTAGGCCACAAGCATGCATTGATGACTACAAACGAATGAATTGGACATTGTGGATTCAAATATGTTTCTTGCAACTCTGAAAACCTCAACAAAGTAGCCAGAGAGTTGATCTTTCTCTTTGATTTTGCAGAATAACGTGCACTGTTTGAAAGGACAGTGTCGACTAACATCTCTACGTAAATTCAACATTTCAAAAAACTTGTTAACTACTGTTGCGAGATATATTCTAATTGATTATGTATGTAGAATATTTATTAAGCACGTAATTGTCAAATGATATGTAATTTTTTCTAAAAGAGTAAAAGATACAAAGTAGAAAACAACAACAATGTAATATGTTTTTGATTTTGTTGTTTGAAAGGTATTTTGTAACAAAGATGGTGACTTATGCAAAGTATGTCAAGAATTGCCCCAATACCACTTCTATAGAATAAATGGAGTAAAAGCTTTACAATCCTTTGATTTAAATTTTCTTATGGACTTGAATGAAGAATAAGACATGTTCTATTTATACAAGATACATTGTCAATATAATTACTTATTGATTAGACATATACTAGGTGAATTATTTCTATTGGGATTCTTTAGAAGTAATTCTTTTTTAGTATTACTTCCAAAATCATGCAAAATTATACTTGACTAAGAGATAGTGAGACAAGTAGTTAATAAAATTGTATTAAAATATTATTATTGCTTGTTTTGTGGAAGGCAAATTTGGCAAAGTTGAGCTTTTGGATCAAAATGAGATATCCAAAAGATTAATTATAGAATCTAATTCACTTAGCAAAAATCTTAGCTAAAGTTAATTTTTTGAAAAACTTCTTCCAAAGATATTACTTACTATGTTTTAGTATAATCATTATAAAGATCTACAATAAAAAATTATATGTTTTAATCTTAGAACCAAAACTTTGATCCCTATACCATATAGAACTTAAATGAGAATGGTTAATTGAAATCTTTTAAAATCCCAATTTAAATTAGTTTAAATGGTATTTAAAAGATTTTTTAAAATTGGCTTGTAGATAACATGCAAATTTAGATAAATGTTGGAAAATAGCCAAGATAATGCAAACACTTATGAATTATATTTTTGTATTGCATATAACTTTGGAATAAGCTAAAAACTTGATATTAAGTTGAATAATATGAATACAAATAATATCAAAATTATCTATAAACTACAAAAATATACCAATTAATTACAACTTTTGCTTCAAAACGTATTATTGAATAAAATGTTACTTAGTTTCAGCAAAGGCCAAAGTAACATATACTTAAATAAAAATAATTCAAGGATTCCAATAAACAATTAATAGACATATTCGTCTTGCTTATTGGTAGAAGGTTCTAATTAAGATACATCTATATATCCAAGTTATAAGACTTATATCTCTAATAGTGCAAATTTGTAAGAATTTATCATTGTTTGCAACAAAATAAAATAAAATGAAATTAAAAAGATATAGCTAAAATATATAATAATAAAATAATTCATAATATTAAGATTATCTAATAATCAAAAGCCCTATTAACAAGAAATACTAATGCCTAAGAAACGACATCTAAGTCACATAATTCTAATTTAATAACAAATTCATTGAATGTATTAGTAGAAGTGACTTAGTATGTAATGAAAATTACATTAGATTCTATTGTTATAAGCCAACCAAATAGTTATTTTGCACCAATCTTCTAACAATTTTGGACTTATAGGTAATAATTTTGTTTTAAGTTAAGAATTAGATTAGAAAGAGAACTTGTTAAAGCATACTTAATTTGTACATCAAATATAGACTAATAGTATTCTTGGTTTTCATTGATATACATATTTATTTAAATTAAAGAAATTGAGTAGGAAAAAATAGAAGTATATAAATTTAATAATATTTTATCAAAAAGCTTTTTAAAAGCTTTATGGACATGGATTTGACTTTAGATTTATTTGTAGTTGATTAGTAGGTTGAAAATTTGGCCAACAAGTTGGCTACATGTGTTATAAGTTGAACATATGTTTAAGGTCTTACAAAACATTGCCACATAGTTTCTAGTTAGATAGTATATATAGAAAGAAGAGTGAAGCCTTATTTACTCTTCTCAATGCCTTTCTTGTTCTTAGTCTGGTTTCAAGAATTTTTAGATTTCTTATCTTTGGTAATAGCCATTCTAGTTTTAATATTATATTATTTTTAAATGAATATCTATTTTCTTTGAATGACTTAAGAGTGTATTGATGTTTTGATTGTTTGTAATTTATGTCTTTGATACTATTGATTAATAATCCTATAAATTCACTTTTTTGGAACAAAACAATAAATTTGCAAAGTTAAAATATTTTTTTGTAATAATAAAATTATTTTTTATATTTTTTTTAGAATAAATCTTAAATTAACTATTTAAAAGTAATCAATAGAGAAAATAAATTCACATAATGTCAATAACTCAATTTAATTACTTTCATCAATTAAATTAGCCTTAAAAATAATATCTACATTGTACATGAATTAGAATAATACTATGATTTACAAAAATTCTATTATTTTTTATTTTTATCAATTAATAATAGGATATTTTCTAAAAATAGTATTTAAGGCTAAATAATAATAAATTAATATATAAATATTAAAAGAGAGAAATAATAATAATAATTATGGCTTTAAAAAAGATAAAGGCAAGAACTTAGCCACCAATCCTCTTATTATTGCTTTGAATTTGATATTTATGTGTAGTTAGATCAAACAAGTATTGACAACATAGATATATAAAAATTTTTGCTTGTTACAAAATACCACCATTTTTGGAATGACTTAATCATAATTTATAATTAGAAATTTTAATGAAGTTTTCATTAAAATCTAAGCTCCATGCTTGTAAGTCTTTGTAGACTTACATACCTTACTACATGTGTGGAATAAGATGACAATATCATTCTAGTGATGGTGGCCCTCCACCTCTATAAACCATCTACTTCAAATGCTTTGCTAATTGCTTCATTGTAAAAAAATGTATTTAATTCTATATGGACAACTTTTATGTGATGATATGTAGTATAACATTTCTTCTCCTATTACTTAATAAAATCAAAAATCAATTTTTATAATATTTGTCAAGAAAATGATCCATCTCATATTTTTAAGATTTAAAGTAATAACGAAAATATCTTCTTAAAATAAATTATTATTTTTAATTAAATATACAAACTATGTGAATTATGGGCCTAAGAATTGGATAACTTTATATGGCTTAGTATTGGATTTTTTTTTTTTTTTTTTTCTTTTTTTTTTTTTTTTTTTTTTTTTTTTTTTTTTGTTTTGTTTTGTTTTGTTTGTTTGTTTGTTTGTTTGTTTGTTTGTTTGTTTGTTTTTTTTTTTTTTTCTTTTTTTTTTTTTTTCAGAAAAATAAAAGAAAAGAAAATTATATTCTTTCTTATAAAATGAAATTCCTATAATTATAAATATATTTTTAAAAAATAAATTCAAGAATATAGGATAAAAATAAGTATTGTATATTTTGACCATCTTCTAATTGAATTTATTTTTTAATTTTAAAAATCTAAGTCAAAACAATTTAATAACAAGATATACATCTTTTATCTAAGTAATCCAAGGATTCCTCAATAAATTAGAAAACTTTGGAATCTAAATAGACAAAAATTTCTTTTATGTATAGAATAAAATTTTTTATACAATTTTTAAAGTTTTTTTTGTAAAAAATAAGAGTTTTTTAGATAGAGACATTACATTGAATTTTAAAATTAGTTGAAACAAAACCAATTGAATGACAAAGTTCAACCTTAAATATGTTACTTTCTTAAGTTAAAAAGCTCTAATATATTGCTTCATCATCTAGTTCTAATCAATAAGTCTTTTGCTAATATATAAATGACTTTACGATCACCATTAAGAAAAATAAGAATAGCATAAAAATCATGTAAAAAATCCTACATTTTGTTTTTTGTTTTTTTTGTTTTTTTGTTTTTTTTATTCATTTATTTATTTTTTAAGCTTAAAATATGATTTAAAAATTAATTAACCAAAATCAGGTACTTATCGCCAATTTTAATTAAAAAAACATTAAGATCTTATTAGATGAAAGAATTTGGTGGATACCGTAGTATATTATAAAGTAACTATTGGATAAAAGAAGAAAGAAAGATTAAATTAGAGAAGATCTTAATTGAAAATATAATAGAAAATTACTTTAATAAATATAGATAAATATATGGAGGTAGTAATAAATAATTAGTGTTAATGTTATACTTTTGTAAAAAATGCTTCTACTTACTTTGTAGGGCCATAAATAAGGCAAAATAAAATAGATTAGTAAAAATAATATTATAAAAATCTTTAGGTGAAAGTAAAGAATATTTTTAAACAAAAATTATCTAAAAATAATTTTGATTGATACTCATAGAGAACTAGTTATAAACTAGGGTCAATACCAAAACTTGAGATACACAACTACAAACTTATAGCAAATATGGGATTTTTTTTGATGATTAGAGAGTAGTGTTGGAAAAAAAATTATTAGGATTTTTTAAAGTATTTCTTTTGAGTGAATTAAATGAATAAGAATTTTATAAAAACTTTACAAATTTATAGTTATTTTAGTTGATTCTAATTTTTTTAGAAAAAAAAAGAATAATATTTTAGAGAAGTGAGT